ATGGCGGAGCCTCAGCCCTGCCCTAAGGAGTCGCGAGTCCCAGTGTCCCGGCAATGGCTGCAAGCACCTCTGAGGGAAAGCCGCTCTCAAGCTCGCCCGCTGCCAGACAGTCCAGTATCTCCCCGTATGAGCCCTGGGTCCCCAGAGACTTCCCGGAACCAGATTTCAGAGCCGTCGGGAGCTTGTGTCTCCCTCTGGATTCAAAAAGACAGCCGTGTCCTCCGGTGCCAGACCCTTTCCGCGCGCGAGCCCCCGTACCTCTGCACTCCACCTCCGCAGCTCCTCCCGCTCGCAGTGTGCTTTTCTCTCCTTCTAGTTGTAGAATTTACACTCAGCCAGCCCTCCTGTAGTTCTGGATGGTGTCCACCTTGTGTTTTTGATGCATTTATCGATTGTTGTGGGAAGCAGAAATTTCCCGGTGTTTATCTATGCCGCCATCTTAGTTTTCTCTCTGGTGGTTATTTATTGGCCATCAGCACAACAGGATGCTCTGGTGGGTCCCAGGATGGCAGCTATTGTCCAGCAGGATGTGGCTCGGCAGTTCGGGGTTGTTTTGTCCAACTCAGCTGGTGGGATCAGGAAAGACCCTATTTTCCCAGCCCCAGACTTCACATCCCGACCTCTTTGGTGATATAGGATGATGACCCATCTGACTGCTTCTGAGCTGGATATGGACGGAGTTTAAGCGAGGTTGGGATCTGGGGGGTCCAGGGGCAACGGGCTGTAAGGGTGTAGGAGAAGCTGGTTGACCATTATCCAAGAGATTTCCTGCATGCGGGACTGCAAAAATCTAAAAATGCAGGGAGCAAGCCTTAGGATTAGGCTGAGTGTTAGTAAGGGGGTGAGTGCAGGGAGTATCCATTGCATCATTCCTCCCTCCCACCATCCTGCGAAGAGGCCTCCCTCCCGTCGGCCTCAGTTCTCCCCCAGTTTACTGAGGACGCCAATGTTTTCTTCGACTAGCCCTGTTTCGTTGATGTAGTAGCAGCATTCCTCTCGCAGGACTAGGCAAGCGCCACCCTTGTCTGCCGTAAGCAGGTGGAGGGCCCGCCTGTTTTGCAGGGCGACTCTGGCCACTGATGTTATTTGGCGTTGCAGGGAGGCTAGGGAGGCAGCAGAGGCTTCCAGGGCTATTTGCAGTTTTCCCTCCAGCTCCGGAGAGGAAGAGACGCTGTAACTTAGAGCACTGCCACCCAGGCCCCCCGCTGCCAGAGAGGAGGCCACTACGGGGAGAAAGATAGCACGTTTCAAGCGGGAGGGGGCTGGTAAGAAGTTTTGTAGGAACTCCCCTCGTCCATACATGGTTAACTGGGGGACCAGGGAAGCTGGGTAGCAGACCTGTGTCGAAGGTGATATAGCTTTTGTTAGGGTACCGTTACACCAGAAGAACCCTCCGAGGGTGCCTGGATGATCATGTTGACTCGAACCGTGATGTTGCAGGAAGCTAGGCTTGGCTGGGATGAGTAGCAGACCCGTGGGAAATCTGCTCCCATGTACAGAGGTACTTCTGTAAGATTTTGAGGCTGCGGGATGTAGGGCTTGAGAGGTTAAAGGGGGTGCATAGGGGGACCGCTGTTAGCGGAGGGCGTCTGAGGGCAGCACACAGAAAGCAGTTGGTGGCATTTCCTATTGATGTGCTATTTAGGAGTGTTATTCCCGCCCTAATGACTGTCAGCCAGGAGAAAGAGTGAGCCTGAGAGAGGTAGGTATTGCAGTGAAAGTGGGAGGAAATGATAGAATGCACTGTTATCCAAGGGAAAAGAGAAAGGGACGAAGCAGTGGAGGCCAGGGACCTGGATATGAGGCTGGAGAAAAGGCAGGGGAGGGAGGGAGCAGGTCATGCAGCCTGTTCCCAGGCCTCTAGCCGCTTGGATTTTAAAACTGCCACATTTTTCCTTTGGGAAGGGTGGAGGGGGATGGGGCGAGAGGGCGCTGAGGTCAGAGTAGTTCTCAGTTCAGAGGAGAGGACAGTTTGTGGAGGAGATAAGGAGATAAGGCGTTCACAGCAAGCTGAGGTAGGCAAAGACAACTAGGCGACTTTGGTCTGGGACAACAGGGCCCCATAACAGGACGCACAGCAGCCCTGGATGGGCACCCAGGCAGAACCAGAAAAACAGTGAATGAGGGAATTTAGTAAGATGCAGTGTAGAGCGAGGTGTCTAATGGCTGTGAGACTGATCCGTCAACCCCCATAATAGAGACTGAGGAGTGGCCAAGGATGGAATTCAGGGAGGGCAGAATAAGTGGCCCAGTGTCAATTAAAAAGGAGACGGCTTACCTGCCACCACAGTCGTTACCTGAGGCTCTGTCCTGGTGATATTGTTGTGCCCAGATTTCAAGATTCCCAAGGGCCCACCAGTGAGCCAGCGAGTCCAATGCAAAAGCAAAGAGTCCCTCATTTCAAGCTAGCTTGAGCTCCCCGTCCACCACACTCACCGACACAATGGCAAGCGGCCGAGAGAGAGAGAGAGAGAGAGAACTCTGTGTGGAGAGAGGTTTTATAGGGGGTTGGGGTAAGGGGAGGAGAAAGGACTGTGGGCCCTGCCGATTGGCCAGGCGCAAGTCGGTGTCTTGTTAAACAGGATGTGGTCATATCTATGGTGACTTCCCTTGATTGTCATTGGTTAGTTTAAAGAAGTCCTGGGTGTGGCTAGCAGAGGCTTGGCTTCTGGGAAGAAGCCTTGCTGAGCACATGGCCAAGGTAAGATGGAGGGCATAGCCCTTACCCTGGGGCAAGATGGAGGGCGTAGCCCTTACCCTAGGGCAAGGTGGAGGGCATAGTCCTCGCCCTTTCATTCCCCCCTTTGTCTTGGAACTTCAGGCTCAATCATGAGACAGACTGCATTTCTATTTCACCGTTGCTAGAGGCCCGTACTGGGCACACAGAACTATCAACTGAACTATCCCTATACGCTTAACAAATGGTCCAGTGGAAGGGAAAGAAACCATTTTAGATTTAACAAATTCTATTGAAATAGGATTTTTCTTCTTAAAATTCCTCCATGGCTATCAAAAAGCCAAATCAAGATTTAGCATTGCCAGATTTCGTAGGAATTACATAAGGAGAAAAACATACTGATTTGCTCGAAGATTTTCTGACTTTCCTTGCTAATTCCTTTTCATGGATTTAAAACAAAACAGTAACTGTTGGTATAAAACCTTCTTTCTATGCATAACCATGCCTCAGACCTTCTATTCTAAACAGGCTTTTTCCAGCTTTACTACCCCTGACATGGGCATGGTGACTCAGGCTTGCAAGACAGTATTACAGGCTGCCAACTGTTAGCTGTCTCTCAACAGAGACCAAAACCTGATGGGCACCCTTCCCTGCCCAGTTGGGCACCTGCCCTCTTGGCAGCTAGACACCCTTTACTTTTGGGGGTCACCCCACACAGCTCCCTTCCAGGACAGCCAACATACATTCAAACCTGCAAAAGAATCAAAGGTTAATATAACATATCAATACAATGAAACATAATATTGGCATCATGGCTGCTTTAGGCAGCCAAATCTTCTGCTACTAAACATGTGATCCTATAAATTGTCCTTGTCTCTTTGGAGCCATGTCCATGAAGATTCCGGCATTATCTAAGTGTATTACACAGTATTGTGGGGGCTCCTGGTGACAAGAGTGATTCCGAGTCATGTTACCGGCATCAGGCAGGTCGAGCACGCCGTAGCTTGAGCTTGAGCGGGTTGCGTTGATCTCGATTGATGCTCCATTTGGTGATGAAGTCTTTCCGGATGGACCCAGGTCGCGACGCCGTCTACCTTGAGAGCGGTGGGGGTCGTCAGCACCACAGTGTAGGGACCCTTCCAACGTGGCTCTAGGGTCTCCCAGCAGTGCCTTCTGACGTAGACCCAATCTCCTGGTCTGTGCTGATGAGGAGTTGGGGTTGGGCTGGTCTCATAGATGGCTCGGAGGAGCGGCCAAATGTCCTTGTGCGCCCTCTGGAGCCCTCTCAAGGAAAGAGATTGTTAAAGAAAAGCCACCCAGTCCTCGCCAGTCTCTGAGTCAGATTCCTCCTCTCTTGGAGAACTTCAAAGTCCTGATGGCTTCTAGGTAACCCTGTTTATCAGTTACAGCGCTCTGCTTTCTTGTCTTTCTACCAGTTCCCTTTGTGGCAGAGCAGCAACCAGGCCTCCTTTCTACCCGTTCCTTTCAAGGGAGTGCGCTAGAAGTGGGTATCAGCCCCTCCTTTGCTAGTAGCAACAGGTACCAAACCCTTACAGTACATTTGACCAGCTTCATTTCCGCCCACCTTTACAGATACCCAAGTAGACATACAAACATCAAATAAACATCCACTCTTACACCCTTTCAGTGAACAAGTACTTTTACAGTCTTGGGATCTTGAGCAGACAGGAACAGATGTGGAGGCCACCTTTCTCACATTCCCAGGACAGGACTTTTGACCTATGTCTCATCCAGATAGAAATGGTACTCGTATTGAACAAGGAAATCAAGACTAAATAGACATGATAACTAGATACATTCCCCATTAAGAACTTCGAGGTGCATGCCACATTTATACCACAAAATACCAACAAATCAGATTCAGTTGTGTCGAGATACAGAACAAGTCCCTGAACAGAGGCAGTAGAAAACTGCCACATTCAGCCAAAGAAAGGAGCAATCCTCGCCCCTGAGATGGGCCTGCAGGCCTGCAGATGAGCCGTAGCCTGCAGCAGCGGACGCCCCTGCCATCTCCTGACTGTGGTTCCAGGGAGGCAACTGGTGCTCACACCAGCACCTGGTTATGGGAATGGAATGAAGTCAGGAAGGAGGCCCCTGAGAAAGATTACAAAGTAATCTGCAATTTTGGCATCCGCTAACAGCACATAAGGTTTTTCCATCCTCAGCTCTGTCCTGCCAGCTACTGAGGGAAAGAAAAGGGGATAGCCCAGGGCTATAGGCATGCCAAACTTTGAGTCCACTCACTGGAGGCAGTCACACCCCATTTGCATACCCACCACCTCCCATCCTTCCCTAGGGGGCAGCTATTTAAGGGGAGCTGGAGTTCAGATTTAACAAGACCAGCATTTGGAGCTATTAACACCAGCATTCTATAAGAGGTAACACCCCAAAATTCATGCCCTGTCAGGAGTATGGGTCCTGCTCAGTGGCTGCCTTTAAGAGTGGCTGTGTAGGCAGATGTGTTCATGTGTATTTATGCATGTGTTTGTTGCATACATGGACATATACATGCATGCGCATGATTTGGGGGAATGTGCACAAGTGTGTTGTATGGGTATGTGAGTGATTGTATGAAAGGAGGTCTACATTAGTGGGTGAGTTCAGGAGTGGGTGTATGCATGCATATGTGCGTGACTATACTTGCATTTGCGCATGTGTATATGGGTAAGGGGTTGGAAAGTCTTGCAAAGAGAGGGGGCTGTGCTTTAGTTTTGGAAAAAAATATTAGAGATTGGACTTCATAGATGGAATTCCCAAGCCTTGAATCCGGTTGGAATAAGTAAGATATGTGTAATGGGGGTTAGGGGAGAGGTGCACAACCTATGACCTTGGGAGTCTCTGAGTTGGTTGGGAACGACCTGGTTGCACCTCCAGGAACTCTCAGTCTGATGGGAAGCGTGGACATCTCCTGAGTGTGGGGGTCTCCTTGGGTCTGAGGCCTGCATGTGTGTGAAAATAGTCAAACAGAGCTGGGAAGGGTCAGGAGACCCTGTGTGTGCACGCTCCTGTGTGTTCATGTGTGACAAAGGTAGTCATCCTGGATTAAGGAGCATGTCTGTGTGTCCCCCTGAAGGTTCCTTTCTCCAGAGTTGCTGAGCAGGGGGCCAGGGCAGAAGCTGGGACCACCTGGGAGAGGAGTCTAGGCCAATCCATCTGTATTTCTCACACAGGGGACTGTCCACATGAAGAACCTTCTATTGTTGGCCTTGACCATGGCCTTTGGTAAGAGCGAACCCTGACCTCTGGCCACAAGGGGGCAGAGCACCCTTAGCCCCAGCTTTCCTTCCCATTTCCACAGGACCTCTCCAGTGGGTGGGAGAGAGGCCCTAGAGGGAGGGGGAGTAGCAGAGAGGGTCAGAGAAGGAGGGCACATGGCCCCGGGCCCCATTCCCAGGCAATGTTCTTCCAGGCCTGCTGCAGACCCACGGGGATTTGCTGGATTTCCGGAAAATGATTGAGTTCGAGACAGGAAAGGATGCTGTGTTTACTTATGGCTGGTATGGTTGCTACTGTGGCTTGGGCGGCCGAGGATCCCCCTTGGATGCAACAGATCGGTGAGACAGCCCCAACCCTACCCTCCCTCTGCCCACTCGTAGCCCCCACAGGGCTGGGAGCTGCCAGGCAGGTCTGGTGCCCATCGTCACAGAACCCCAGGAGGTCCCAGCTTGCAAAGCAGCCAGCAAGTTGGAAACTCCGCTCTAGACCATTGCAAGGTCATTGGGTCTCTGCCCAGGGTCAAGGGGCAAGACCACGGGGGACCAGGCTCCCTGGAGCTGTGGGGAAGCAGCCCCAAACACATCTCCTCGCCGCAGGTGCTGCGCCGAACATGACTGTTGCTACGAACGTCTGCAGAAGCGGAAATGTTGCACCAAGTTTCTGAAATACAACTTTGCTTTCCAAAATGGCAAAATCGTCTGTGGTAAGGATGTTCTACAACTTCACCCTGTCTCCTTGGTTTCTCTTACTGAGTGCCCACTGTGCTGGGCACTGTTCTGAGCACCAGAGAGAGAAATATAAAGGGGCACCCTGGCCCATTTGGCTCAGTGGATAGAGCATCGGCCGTGGGTTCAATTCCAGCAGCACCTACCTCTGTTTCAAGCTTGACCCCCAACCCCTAGTTGGGTGCATGCAGGAGGCAACCAATCGATATGTCTCTTTCACATCAATGTTTCTCTCTGTGTATGTGTCTCTCCCCCTCCCTTCCACTCTCCCTAAAAATCAATGGGAAAATATCCTCAGGTGATGATTAACAACAACAACAAAAAAAAGAGGAAGAAATACAAAGGGACAGTGTCCCTGCCTCAGGGAGCTCATAGGTGAGTGGGAAGTAAAGACAAGGAAAACACTAGATGGGAGACTCCAATATGCAGGAAGCCAAAGGGCAGGGCCCTGAGCACAGGCTGTGGTCCAGGAAGGCTCCTGACAGCCAAGCTGAGTCTTTAAGGCTGTGCAGGCACCAGAGGGGAGGAGAGTGCCTGCACCGCCTTAAAGACGCAGCTTAGATGTCAGGAGCCAGCCTTTTCCCCACCTTCTGCTCCCCGACCTTGGCCATGGGATGCCAAGACACCTGGTGCCACTCCAACATCATGGTCTTACCCCATAGAAGAGGCCTTCCTACAAGAAGGCTCAGCAGAGTCAAAGGGCCCAAGGGAACTGGGGCAGTTCTGTGAGCCTGAAGGAGAGGGAGTGGTGAGAGATGAGGCTGAAGGAATGGGAGGGGCCAGGCCAAGCCCAAGGCCATTCTGTATTTAAATTTTGTCCTAGAGCAGGGGGAGCTCTTGAGCAAAGGAGTGGCATGAACAGATTTGCATTTGGGAGGATTCCCCCAGGGTGGGTAGAGATGATGGGACTGGGAGGCGGGGGCAGCAGTGAGAAGACCATTGCCATTGGACATATGACAATGGTAGTCTTGATGGGAGGGCTGAGAGTGTCATTTCAGGTAGAATCAGCAGAGTTTGGTGGTTGCCTGGGTAGAGGGATAGGGAGCTTTTGGGTGGGTATCCGTCCCGTGGATGGAACAGGAGGTGGTCCAGGTGGGTGAAGGGAGGAGGAGTTCTATGTAGACATGTTTAAGAGGCTCCCAGAACACACAGGGAGACACGAAGCAGGCAGCTGGATGTAGGGACCGGCAGCTCCAGGGAGGGGTCTGGACGGGGCACAGAGAGCTGAGAGTGGGATATGCTCGTCCATTTGATGTCTAAAGGCCCAGACAGAAGAGAGAGGAGGGCCTGTCAGAGAGAAAGAGGAGAGCTGAGAGGGAAGGAGTGGACAGCAGCAGATTTAACACTAAGTCTCCAGGATAAGGGCTGACAGGCTCCGCGGATTTAGAGGCAGGAAGACCCTAAGGACCTCACTGGGGCTGTTGCCATGGAATGTGAGGGCAAATCCAGATCGGGGTGGGCAGGCGGGGGGAGAGTGAGTGGGACATGAAGCCAAGATGTCCCTGGGCACGATTGGCTCTGAAGGGGAGGAGAGAGCTGGGTAGTCAATGGAAGGGTTTGCCCAGTGGCCCCAGACAGCAGACCCGCTGCTGGGATTTTGAGAAAGTATCGCCTCTCCCCCAACACCCTGAGCTCTTTAAGATCAGAAATGGTGTCTCCAGAGGTCCCTGTGTCTTAGCAGGCTTTGGGTCGTAAGCAACAAGATGCCCAACCACAAGAGGCTTTGGTAATGGGGAAGTCTGGCTGGACTGGCAGAGGGCAGTGCGGGGAGTGGGTGGGGGGCAGCTTCTCCACCGTGTGGTCAGAGACACAGCCTTTTCCCACCTTCTGCTCCCAGACCTTGGCCATGGGATGCCACGACACCTGGTGCCACTCCAACCTCATGGCCTTACCCCATAGAAGAGGCTTTCCCCCTAGGATGTCTCTATTTGGAGAAGGAAATGAATCCCTCCCACAGCCCCCAGGAGCTAGGCAAAGCCCAAGGCCATACTGTATTTAGATTTTGTCCTAGAGCAGGGGGAGCTCTTGAGGGAAGGAGTGACATGAAGATTTGCATTTGGGAGGATTCCCCCAGGATCCTTCCCCTGTGGCTCATTGGCCAGAACAAGGTCTCGTGCTCCCAGAGACCACTCATTGAAAGGAAAAAGGGGGGAGCATGACTGGTTTACACCAATCACAACCCATTCCCAGGCCCTAGGCTAGGGGCTGGGGCTTTGCACCTGGACACACCTGTTGGGAAGAAGAAAGCCTATCCCAGTGCTTGGGGGCGGGCGTCCCCATCTGACTGGGCGCTCGCTCCCCGAGGGCAGGAGCTCTGTCTTCCCATCGGAAGGACCCGGAGCCTAGGTGCTTGCCCGGACTAGACACGTCTGGAGGACAGGGGCCATGGAACATTCCCAAACCCTCAGCCAGGTTTATTTTCTTGTGATTCCAGGGGAGCAGGATCACTGTCGCAGGCAGCTGTGTGAATGTGATAGAGCAGCTGCCGACTGTTTTGCGAGAAACCTGAACACCTACCAGAAAGACCACAAATTAACATGGTTCTGCCCTGGGAAAAACCACCAGTGCTGAGGTCCCGCCCCCGGAAGCCTCGCCTCCCACGCTGAGCTCCCCTCTCTGGCTCCCACCCCTCCCCGCCCTGGCTAGTTCCTGCAAAGAAGGAAACACCCCTCTCACATCCCAGAGACAAGCCAGGAGGCCCTCGACCCCCAGAGAGAAGCCTTCCTTCCAGAATGAGAAGCCCCGGGGCATGTGGCCTGGCGCCTTTCCCCTCTTCCTTGGGAGGCAGGAGATGTCCTCGTCCCCACTGCTCTCCAAGTCCCGCTTCCTGCTTAGCCGTGGCGGCTACATTCCCAGGGTCTCCTCTAAATAAAGCAATTAGTTCATTGGCAAACTGTGTACATGTCTGTGTGTGTGTGTGAGTGTGTATGTGTGTGAGTGTATATGAGACTGTGTATGGGTGTGTGTGTGCGTATGTCGGTGAGTGTGTGTGTATGTATGAGTGTGAGAGTGTGTGTGTGTGTGTAAGAGAGTGTGTGTGAGCTGTGTGTATGAGTGAGAGTGTATGTGAATGTGTGTGTGAGTGAATGTGTGTGGGAATGTGTGAATGGGTGTGTGTGTGCATGTGAGTGTGTATATGTATGTGTGTGTGTGTGTGTGTGTGTGTGAGCTGTGTATATGAGTGAGAGTGTATGTGAATGTGTGTGTGAGTGAATGTGTGTGGGAATGTGTGTATGGGTGTGTGTGTGTGTGTGTGTGTGTGTGTCTGCCTGCCGTGGTGTGAGAGCAAACTGGTACAAGGCGATGTAGTGTAAGGGGTTATAAATACAGACTCCAGTCAGACTGGCTGAGTCACATCCGCCAGCGCCACCTCGCTGAGCCCTTCTCCCCTCATCCCATTGGCGACAGCTTTGGGCTTATTGGAGAAGCGGGAGAGGTACCAGCACCAGTGAGACCCAGCTGTGGCTGCTCCTTCCCTGGGCGAGAGCAGCTCCTGCCGGCCTGTGGGGGAAAACAGAGCCTCGGTCTTGATGTCTGGGGAGCTACGATTCGCACCTCCACGGGCAATATTCTGTGTGTCCGGCCCGGGGGAGGTGGGCGCAGGTGTCGCTGGCCAGCAGCTGGATCCCAGGGCGCTATCCCCTCACCGGGGCCGGCTTCCCAGGCTGCCAGTCCCGCAGGCCCGTGTTCGGAAGGGCATCGCACCTCCTTGCATGCTGTGTCCCAGCCACCTTGAAATGCAGCATAACCTAGGGCTGTGATGGAGAACCTTTTGAGCTCAGCGTGTCAGCATTTTGAAAAACCATAACTTAACTCTGGTGCCGTGTCACATATAGAAATTTTTTGATATTTGCAACCATAGTAAAATAAATATTTATATTTTTGATATTTATTTTATATATTTAAGTGCCATTTAACAAAGAAAAATCAACCCAAAAAAATGAGTTTGCATGTCACCTCTGACACGCGTGTCATAGGGTCACCATCACTGACCTAGGGCCCCGCTTTTTATTCTGCACTGAGACCCACAAATGACTGCTGGTGGCTACTTGCCCTCCTGTCCCAGGTTCCGCTGGGAGAGTCGCACCTGGGCCTGCTACTTGAACAATCACCATCGGGGCGGCTGGGCGTGGGTCCCTGTTTGGGGCGCAGGTGGGAGCTGAGCTTTAACCCAGGCGTGACCCAGAGGCGGTGCTTTCTGTCACTCATCTCCCAGAAGGGCTGCCTTTTTCTAATTCGGCATAAAGACGCTTCCTTTGCTGGCGGGAGCCCTGCTCATGTCCACGGGCACCCATAATAAGGGAAATGCACATTAAAACTCCACTGAAATGTCATTTGTATGTATCAGAATAGATAAAAACCCAAAAGCATGACAGCCTGCCCTGTCCACAAGGCTGTGGGGGGGACAGGCGCTGTGGGAGGGCAAAATGCCCACGGAGGGCCAATCGGCGTATCCATCACCATTATGAATGTGTATATCCTTTGGCTCCGCGACCCCTCTTCTAGAAATTTGCTCTACGAAGGCACACAGGCACATGCAGAGCAATTCCTGGGGAATTTTTTCATTGCCACATTATTCTGAATTGGATTGGAAAGAACCCAAGTATCCGTGTAGAGCGGACTAATGAAATAAGCAATGACGACCTCAAAATGGAATGCATCTGTTTAGGGAGGGAGGCTTTCTCTGTGGCAGATAGGAAATCGCCATGAGGGCAGCCAGGGAAAGGAATGGGGTGAAGGGCAGCGTTGGGGGTGGGGTGCTGCATTTATGGAGGAAAGGGTGGAAGTGTGAACACGTATGTGTTGCTATTGCCATAAACCTTAAAGGACACACAAGAAGTTCATTAAAATGGCTGCCTACGGAGAGAAAGCAGGGCGAGCATGGGAATGGGGTGGGTACAGATGTGTGAGAGGAAGATTCCTCGATGTGAAATTTTTAGCCCCATGCTTGCATTTCCTATTCAAAAGAAAGTGAGCATCAGCAAACACATTCCCCTCCTCAGACAGCCACCAAATGTTAGACCATATAGTCTCATCCAGGAATTGGCCAACTACCGCCTGTCGGCCAAGTCTCTCTGCTGCCTGGTTTAGCACAGCTTATAAACTAAGAAAATAGTTGCATTCTTACATGGCTGGGGTGGGGGGTGGGGGGTCATGAGAAGGACCATATTCTGACGATTCTGTTTCAGGTGGTGTATGTTGTCAACTATATTTCCTTTCCTTTAGTGGGTGCGGTTGTGTGCATGCAGGTGAATTTGCAGAGGGGAAGGGATGAGCCCTAGATTTGATGATTGCCATTTGGTATCTCTCCACCTCCCCCCACCCCCACTCCCCTCACCCCCTCCCCCACCCCCACAGATGCTCTGGTCAGGATTTCCTCATGAAACACCCGGGAAGCAGCCACACTGGCAGGAAGCCGCACCCTGAGGTTGAAATCAACCATCCCTGGGATTTGGGGTTGAGGTGGAGGAGGAAGTAATGAAAAAGGAGAGGAAAGAATGGATGAGCAGCACGTATTGTCTTTAACAATTCCTCTCCTGGCAGGGTATCTGGACTTGAGCTTCTCAGCTCTGGCTTCGGGGCAAAGAGGCAAGGCTCCAGGGCACAGCCTGCCTCCTCTCCGACAGTCCTGGCTTCATTCTTCCTGCAGAACCCTGTAGGCTCTTTTGTTAGTGCTTCAAATCCAAGCTTCTCTCCCAGATCTGTATTTTGCCAGGTTGGTTTTGGCAAAGGGAGCCACCGAACCTAGGCCAGTTTGCAATCTCAGCAGAAGAAAAGGCAATTATACAGGGGTGGGCAAAAATAGGCTTACAGTTGTGAGTACGGGAAACAGAGTTTATTATTGTATTATTGTATTATTTTTCATGGGAAAAACTGTAAGTCTACTTTTGCCCACCCCTGTAGAGTGCCATTATCTTGTGTAGAATTTAAAAGCACGCAAACATATATCTAAATAAACAGATGAAGGATAAACTGGTAGTGGAGATGGAGGATAAAGGGGAAAAAAATGAATAAAATACAACAGAGTCTTGCACAAACAAATGATGACAGTGTGTTATGAGGAGAAAGTGTGGTGCATTTGGTTAAGCAACTGGTCAATTATAAATGCATTTATCCTTCTACTCAGCAACTCCACTTCTGGAAATCTATATATCTAAAAACCGAAGTGTCCATCCAACTGTCCGACCGGTAGCTATGACACGCACTGACCACTGGGGGGCAGATGTTCAACGCAGGAGCTGCCATGATGTGCACTGGCCATTTAAAAAAAATGGCACCACAGACCTGGTGCCGACAAACCAACACTCAGCTTTCTCCAAGTGGGACCCAGGCCCCGCCACCATCCGGGAGCAACACCCCACCAAATCGCAGCCAATGCTGCCGAGACCCCATGGTGCAAAATGCGGCCCACAGCCCAGCCCGGAAATGGTCACTGTGGGTGCCGGGTAATGATGTCACGTAGCAACGCCCAGCTTCCTCTCCCTAGCGACTAGCCTCCTTGGAGTTTCTTCAGCCCAGGAACATGACTTGCTTTATAGCCAGGTGCAAACATTTTACACTTTAACCAAATATTTGTGAAGTGTTTTCACGAGCCTTATCTCATTGGATCCTCACAGAAGTCCTGGAGCAGGTAGATAGGAGACTCGGTAGAATCCTATTTTCTTTTCATTAGCTGGAAATGGAGATTTAAAAAGTTTAGAAACTTGACCCGACTGAAAAGAAGTAAGAAATGGTGGACCTTGAAAATGACTTCAGGTTTTCTCACTGTGCAGAATATAGTCAAAAACTGCTGCAGTTAAATATTTTACCCTTTGTTCTCCCTGCGTGATCTATAATAATCTGCTTCGTGTTGATATTTACTGCTGTGTTGCTCACAATTACCTGAAAGAGAAGTTGGGCTGCTTCATTGCGTTGGAAAAAGTTTAGCTACATCAGAAAGCAGGTCTAATTAAGCAAGTTTATTCTATATACTAGAGGCCTGGTGCACAAAATTCATGCATGGGCGGAGGTGTCCCTCCGCTCAGCCTGCACCCTCTCACAATCTGGGACCATTGGCTCCTAACCACTGGCCTGCCTGCCTGCTTGATCACCCCTAACCACTCTGCATGCCTGCCTCATTGCCCCTAACCACTCGCCTGCCTGCCTGATCACCCCTAACCACTCTGTCTGCCTGCCTCATTGCCCCTAACCACTCACCTGCCTGCCTGATCAACCCTAACTGCCTCTGCCTGCCTATCTGACCACCCCTAACCACTCTGCCTGCCTGCCTGATCACCCCTAACCGCCTCTGCTTTGGCCCTGCTGTTGCAGCTTCATCCGGAAGGACGTCCAGAATGACATCTGGAAGGTAGTTCAGCTGTCCAGTCTAATTAGCATATTACACTTTTATTATTATAGATATTATAGATATAAAAGGCTATATTGACTTGCACATGCACAATACATATAAAGATCTTGCTGGCGCCAATCACACACATGTGTTTCAATCTCTCATTGTCAATCATGAATTTGGTTGACACTTCTATTATAGAGAAAGGGCAAATAGCGATATTAAAATATTTCTTCTCATTAATTCCCTTTCAATGTGCACAAATCCATGCACTGGGGTCCTAGTTTACCCTATAAATGTGAGTGTGCGCACACATACACACACACCCCCACTGATGCATGAGCAGTATGTAATTGACAAGAGTGAGAATCCAAACCCAGAGCTGTCTTGACCCAAAGTCTGGTTTTTCTATCACCCCATGACCTTAGGTAGCTTGACTGGGATGCCAGTCAGGGTGAATGCCAGCTGCCGTGACAGCCAGATGAGCCTCTGGGTCCTAGTGTACACCATCTGGCAGAATGAAATACCCATTTCTCGTTGATCGCTGCCTCTGGGCTATAGTA